TGGTTGCAAGAGCAGAAGATCGGTGGAAATCTCGCCGGAAGGGGTGAACGGAGAGGGATGCAGAGCTTTGGAAGCTTGAGCAATGGCGGATTTGAAAGAAAGAGTTTTTAGAGAGAGAAAAAAACAAGAGAACTCAGATGCAAAAGTGAAGAGACGAAAGAAAGGGGGAGAGATTTTGTCAAAAAAATGAAAACGGCGGCAAAAGCAATCAATACGCCTAAAAGAGCGCATACGTCAGACGGCGCATGTGAAGAAGAGATGACTTATGAGCGTGTCACAGGAACGAGCCAGTAAGAAAGAAACGAGTGTCTAAAACGGTTGAATTGAAGTGCATGACAGCTTATGCGCGTAAAAAGTTCCTTAAAAATCTTTGATTTTTTAGGGAATACATGTCGGCCAGAAATGGATGATCTCGGCTATCAAACTTTAAGCCAATTTACTGGAAGAAAATACAGATATGGGTTTCATCACCTCAGAATACTGAGGTAATAGAACCTAGGGGGCAGTTGTGGGGATATATTTTCTGAATACCAACACGTGGCAAGGTGACGCCGATGTGTCATTCGAAGTGCCACGTGTCCTGGTTGTGACGCCGAGGTTATCTCGGCGAGGCCGAGGTTATCTCCGAAGATATCAGAATCCGAGATAAACGGATAATGGATAAGGGGCAAGAGTCCTAGAGTAAAGAGAAGATTTTGCTAAGATAAGGATAAAGCTCTTAGGGAGTTTATCTTTATCTCTTGAGAAATCCAAAGTAAGTACAGAATTGGAGTCCATAGAAGTCAAGCTTCTAGTGGGACTAGGATTGAGTAAACTATAAAAAAGAGGCACCCCGTGGGTCTAAGGTACACAGTTTTATGCTTTGAATAGTGAGTTTAGCACTTGATTATCTTTGAGAGATATACTGACTTGATCGTCGGAGTGCCCCCGGGTGGAAGAGCCACCGCCGGAGCCTTTTCTTTTTGTTACAGGTTTGCTGAAGCAATCTATTCTGCCGGTGCTCTCCAGCTGATTACTAGGCGGGCAGTGTGATCAGAAAATCACTCACACATTTATCTTTAAAAAATAAAAGATATATATTTAAAATTATTAGACTGTTAATTTTTTTAAAATAAATGTAATAAAATGATATGATTGAATTATTATTTTCATTAAAATAAAATCACTAAAGCTATTAAGCTATTAACTTACATCAAGAGGTATCGTTTAATTATAATGTAATTAATGGCTTGCTTAGGAATTGATTTTTTAAAATATATATATATATATATATATTTATAAAAAATAGAGAGATATATTAGAATTTTTTTTTCAAGTGTTGATATCTCAATTAGTCTATAAGATATTTTTGTATTTTAATAAATTCTATTATTTAAACATTTGATCTGCCAAATTATAATTCTTATATTTAAGGTATATTATAGATATTTCTATCATTACAAATATTTTTTTAACGATTAGCAATTTAGTGATGTGAACATTCATATTTTACAATGTAAATATTCACATTGACGTGTAAATGTTTACATTAATAGCGTGAATATTCACATTGACAGTATGAAAATTCATAATTCACATTGGCATGTGAATGTTCACATTAATAATGTGAACATTCACATTGACGATATGAACATTCACATTGACGGTATAAACATTCACATGACGAAATATTCGCACTATAAATGTGAATATCATTAGAGATATTTTGATAACTATGTCATCCATTGGACTTATCATAATATAAAAAAATAATGTGAACTACATAAAATATAGTAGGTAAAAAAAAAATTATGAAAAAGTGCCTCTAAAAAAATGTGTTAAAAGTAATTAAAAAAATAAAGATTTTATAATGACTTGATTAATGATTTGTTCACTAAATTTATTTATTACGAATTATTCTGAACGAGTCTCTTCTAAGACACTCTCTCATACGCGAATTTCGTCCCGAAATGAGACTTCTTCCGGAGAATTTGAACTAATTAAATTAGCAGCAATGCTAGAGGGCTACCAAATCAGTGGCTTAAATGGCTCAAAACTGTCAAAACGATTTAAGCCACTGATTTGGTGGCCCTCAAACATTTTCCTTAAATTAGTGAATGTAAGGGTACCGTAAGACCTAGGTGATGCGGTAACCAAAATCAGGTGCAATCGTTAAGAACACATTAACCGAGAATGCAGTTTGCGGTGCCAATGATGCGCACTAAAGGTGGAGGCGGAATGGTTGCGACCACGAAACATTTAATTCACTGTTTGTCCACCGAATTGATAGATTTGAAAAAATTAATCTGCATCTGTTCGCTAATTCAGCGAATGTGAATTGAGCGGATGGATGCGAATTAGTTTGACGGTTTAAAATTTTATAAATTTTCAATATAATTCAATTTGTGTACTTTCTTTAAAAAAAAAAAAGAGAGTATTATAGTCAATGATTAAAAAAGTATTCAGCTTGTTTGGTTATAGTTTTCAGAAAATAATTTTCAGAAAATTTTACTTTTTTATTTTTCGTATTTTAATATCTTCAATGATTTTTTTAATATTTGAGCAATTTTTAAAAAATTTTGGACGCACTTAATATAAATACACTTAAAAAGTATAATATTTGTGAAAAAAATCTTTAAAAAATACACTAAATACCAAAAAATATAAAAAATACAAATTTTAGTACATTTTTCATATTTTGTGTATTTATTAATTTTTGAAAATATTGTTTCACAAATATTTTATTATTTAGATACCTCTAAGTAAGGTGCATCTAAAAAAGTAAAAAAATTGCTTAAAATTTTAAAAATATTCACTAAAAACAAAAAAAACCGAAAAACAAAAAACTCAATTTTCAAAAAACTAAATTTAAAAAACTGAAACCAAACATACTGATTATAATCACTACATGTCTCCTCCAAATAAAGAAAGTTTGAAACTTTAGAATATTTCAATTATTGCATGCCTCATCCACATACTACAGTCACAACAGGCCTCATCCACATAAAGTATTACAATCTGTGGTTCTTAAAATAAAAAAAATAATTTAAACCACCAAAACCATGAACAGAGTAGTAGTAGAGATTGCATGCTACTGTATTGTTACATCTATATCTATTTTTGAAAACAAAAATCAACCAGCATGTATCATCTTTTTTATTTATTATTTTTAGAGTTAGATTTAAAAACAAAAAAATATAGATAAATAATACATTTATTTTTTTCAATTCAAAAAATATATTCAAGTTGAAAATTATTTTTCAACAGAATATTTAAACAATTTTTCAATTAAAAACGCAAATAGAATATTTAAATAAATTGAAAACACAAAGTCTTACAAATTATTTGGGGTGATTGCGATTTGGAGGTTCGGTTGTGACCAAAGGAACCTCAAATCCGCTATCAATTTAAAACTAAGTGAATTGAAAAAAATCAATCCACAATCGTCCACTCGTCATCATGCATCTGTAAAAAAATGCAACGGATCGGTTCGGATCAGTTCGGTTCGGTCTAGTCGGTTTAGGCAGATCAATATATCCGTTGCTCACTTCTAATGCGCACAGGTAGGGGGTGTGCACTACGGTGTGTGTAGTACAATTCGAGTAATTTGAAAGTAAAATTATAAATTGAATGACCGATTGATGGATTAACGAATTGATAAATTGTAGTTTGGACGATTTTTGACAGATTGGTAGATTGAATAATATTCTAACTAATTATTATATATTTGCATAATATATAACACTAATTTGTATAATATTTTTTTTATATATATAATAGAAAGTAATTTTACATAATATATTTCATATATATAACTATTAATTTTTAATAAATTTCATATATTAAATACCTATCACACTTATTTTTACTTTAATATTTCATTAGAGGTTAAAAAATATATATGTATTAAATATAGTAGAGCGAAGCGATTTGAAAGACGAATTATAAATTTTAATGTTTAAATCACGATTAACAATTAAAACGATACAAATAAATACGAATTAATATGATTTTAACAGATTAAACAGTATTTTATACCTGCCTAGTGTAACTTTTTTCCAATCGGCCTAACATTTCAAAGCTACTGATAAAATCAGGTAATCACAGTCGTAGGATCTAACTAACTGTTTACAAACTAGCGATTTATTTATTGAAAAATGTTTGAGGATCACAAAAAATGTGATTTAAATGGCTTAAAATTGTTAAAATAATATCGTTTTGCGTCGTTTTACGCCCAAAATAATATCGTTTTAACAATTTTAAGCCATTTAAATTACACTTTTTGTGGCCTCTACCATCACTCTTATTTATTTTGAATCGATTAGTCAAACATATCAGGAAAGAGAAAGTACGTTCATTGAATGGTTGTGATTTTTTGACCACATTTACCTCCCACAACCTAGGGGCTATTCTCTCAGATAATTAAACAGTGGAACCCACACGACTTTGGCTTTGGAAAAAGCATAGGTACATATATAGATATAGGGTAATAATTAACAAAATTTATAAAAATATGAGTATGAAATGAATTATTAAATATTTTATTAAATACAAGATAAGTATGAAAATAAATTAGTATGAGAGGAATGAAATCAATGCTTAAATTTTTAATTTTTTTTATTATAAAAGAATGTGCAAGAAATAAAATGAAAGAGGATGAATTTTTAATTTTTTTTATCATTAACCTTTGTTTTAGTATTTTTTTTCTACATTTTGAATATGTTTTTTTTATTTTTACAATCCGATCCTAAAACTAAGAGCAATGTTTTGAATATCTTTTTTAATATTTTTTTTTGAAATCCCTAATTTGTGTAAATTAAAATTACATTTAAGCTTTGTTTATTAATATGCTAAAACAACAATTTTTTTTAAAAACATTACTCTTTTTTATTTTTTTATAAAAAATTAATTTTTAAACGAGTTCATAATATGTGTAATTATTATTATTATTATTAATTTTTGTTTAAAAGTAATGTTTTGGAATGTTTTGCCGTGCCACTGATGTTACTCGTTCATACATACGATACACGCATTTATTTATGTGGAGAGAGAGCGAGCTAGAGAGAGAGGGCGTTTGGGATGGGCGACTGAAACAGGCCAAAGACGTCTAGAATTAAACAGAGAAAGAGAGGGAGAGAGAGAAGACAGATAATCAAACAACCTATATACATAGATATATGCATTATCGTCTACGACATCACATGGGATGGGAGAAGAAGAGCCACCTCAATTAGGGCTTCTCTCATCTTCTCTAATTGCCTCTCTGTAGATTCCAAGTGCGTTGTTGTGGATCTCTGAGTCGATCTTCAACTTTGGCTTCAGATTGTCTCAGATGGAGGAGGGTCGCTTCTGTCAGTGGACCGTCTTTCGATCCATTCTCGCCATCCTTCAGTGGTGGGGCTTCAATGTTACCGTTATTATCATGAACAAATGGATCTTTCAGGTCCGTTCATTATTTTTTTCTTTTTATTATATATATATATATATTCCTCACACCACCTCTCTGACAAATTATATACTAGTAATTTTGTTGAATGGGTTTGCTAAAATTTCCCAACTTTTTTGGTGGGGAATTTTTATTTTATTTTTATTTTTAATATCACCTTCAATGCTGAAATTAGGATCATCAATGAATTTTGTTTTTCTACATTAAAAAAAAAAAGGATGAATTTTGGTTGTGCTTGTGATGGATCATGAATGCTGCTGTGCCAAAATAATTTCAGGACATTGGGTTTTATTCCTTTTTCCCAGAGTGGCTGAAATTAGGATGTTCTAATGGTTTTGTGGGAAGTGATTAAATTCGTTCCATTTTTTTGGGCTGAGAGCATCTTCTTGCCATAGCTGCTGCACTGGATCGCCTTTTTTGGAAGCCTTAGCCTGTGTTTGGTTGGGGGATTTGGAAAGGAAAAAGAAAAAAATGTGTGAAACTAGGTAAAATGTAATGTGTTGGAATCTTACTAGAAAGAAGCTCACAATTAGTCTTTCTTTGCACAATATATACTTTATAATGAGCTGCTGGCTCATGACAGAGTGGATGGTGGAAAAGGATTCATGTAGTCAATTCCAATTGATTGGATTGGGACACAAGGCTTGTTTTGATTTGGTTTTATTATTTTGATTTTATTTTGTGATACCTAAAAGAAATCTATATTGATGCTAAACAAACAGAGTGAACTTATCATGTTTTTCAAATAAATTATTCAGGAACAAATGGCATGCTCCTGTAATTATGGACTCAATTACAAAGTAGTTTCTTTGGCGGCGTTTGTTTTGAGGGATTGAGGGGTGGGATTAGACTATCAGTCTATCTCCGGACTAATAGTCTGTTATTTGGTTCAAAATTTTGGCAACGGACTATAAGTCTCCCGGACTATTCATTCCAAATCTATTGGACTATTGTGTCCCATGGGAAGGGGTGGGACACAAATGGAGGGATAAGAAGGATATGAGATTAGGTAGTGAAATGACTATTTTGATCATCTACTATTTAATTATGTATTATATTTAGTAAAATTTAATAAAATTTAAATGTCTCAATTTAAAAATAAAATAATTTTATTTAATTTTTATATGATATTTTATTTATTTAATTTTTTATAGATATTTTATTGATATTTTATTTTAAAATTTTGTTTATATTTTATTTAATTTAATTATTTAAATTTTAATAGATGTTTTATTTAATTTTATTATTTAATTATTCTTATTTTTTAAAATAAATGTATTTAAAATAGTCATTTGAACATTTATCATTCTCTATAATATCCCAAACAAACATAGGATTCATATCCTATCCAACCAAATAGTCTTTTCCTGACATCTAATCTCATGGCTAAACAAACATGGGATACAAATCCAGTCCAATCAAATAGTTCGGAGACAATGTATCCCAGGACTAACAGTCCGGTGGATTTCAATCCCTTCTTATCCAGTCCGTCCAAACACTGTGTTGAATAAGTTTTCAGCCATGTGAGATAAAATTATGTGTATTCTTGAGTTCGAAAACAATTTGTACATTTAGGCTACTGCTTACTGGTGAATGGATCTTTTTTGGCATTGAATGGTAAAGATGATCGTGATGGATCTAATAATATTGTCTTCTATGTTGTGTTGTGTTTGGTTTTTATGCTTTTAAATCAGTTGCAGAGCATATGGTTGGCCAACTTTTGGTTTTATCAATCCACTATCTATCTCTGTAACATAATTTCATTTGTACTTGCTACAAAATTGATATTTTATCAAAGGGAGTAATATGTTCAAGCAAGTTTCTAGACATGGAACATTGGAATTAGTTGCTCTTTGTTGAAGTACACTATTGTGTGATTATGATTACTGTTTATGGCATCTGAAACATTTATTTTTCTTTTTCCTTTCTTCCACAGAAACTAGATTTCAAGTTTCCTTTGTCAGTATCATGTATACACTTCATATGCTCGACTATTGGTGCCTACCTGGTAATCAAGGTGCTGAAGCTTAAGCCACTCATAGTGGTTGATCCTGAAGATCAATGGAGAAGGATCTTTCCCATGTCTTTTGTGTTTTGTATAAACATAGTGTTGGGGAATGTAAGTTTGCGTTACATTCCTGTTTCTTTTATGCAAACCATAAAGTCGTTTACCCCGGCAACAACAGGTTATATTTCAGATAAATCATCCAAATGCTCTGTTAATCTTTTTTTTAATCATATGTCATTTATTTTATTGTGTCATAACTGCACCTGATTTGATTTCATCATTTGAAACAGTTGTTTTGCAGTGGCTAGTTTGGAGGAAACACTTTGATTGGCGAATATGGGCTTCTTTGGTGCCCATTGTAGGCGGAATTCTTCTTACTTCCATTACTGAGCTTAGTTTCAATATGTTTGGATTTTGTGCTGCTTTATTTGGTTGTCTTGCTACTTCTACAAAAACTATCCTTGCAGAGTCTCTACTGCATGGGTACAAGTTTGATAGGTACTTTCTTCTCTCTCTCTTAGTAAAAATAAATAAAAACATAAAGTAAATAAAGGGAAAGTGACTCTCATTGTTTTTTTTTTGATCAAGTCCACTGGGGGCTTATTATCAATAACAGAGTTTGTCATCTATGTCAATTCTAATTGTAAGATGAAATCTTCGGTAGATATTTATCTTCATTTAGCAATGGCATGATAAAACTTGGGTTATGATAACTTTTTGCCTACTGTCTGTTGTAAGTCAAGTTTATTTTTATATGTTGTATTATTGTATATAGTTCAGTTATTATTATCTTCACACTTGACACTAAAACTATAAAGTTTGTGAAAGCTTATGTTCATGTGAGCTGCTTTGTTTCTTCAATTTATGAAAAATCGACATGATTTCTAGGTTTTCTAAGTGGTGTTGGTATTGAAACTTTTGGTTTCTAATCCAATTACATTGTGTGTATGAAGAACGGGTACTTCAAAATAGGCACTGTAGCGGTGTCGGACACGGGGACACGCCGGGGTTACGCCAAATGGCGTGTCCCTTTCATTTTATTATTTTTTTTGTAGGGGACACGACAGGGACACCAGGGACACGTGTGTCCAAATTTGGACACAGGAGCGTGTCCCTTTAATTTTATTATTATTATTATTATTTTTTTTGCAGGGGACACGGTGGGGACAAGCATGTCCAAATATGGATGATATATTAATTTGTTTAAATATAGTGGTTTATATATATTGAATTAATGTTAGTTTTTTTTTTAATATTTCGATTGTTTGGTAACATAATATTAATATACATAGCAAATATATATAAAATAAAAAAAAAACCAAAATTTGCCGTGTCCCCCACCATGTCCGTGTCCCCATTTTTTTGAAATCACCGTGTCCCGTATCCGTGTTCGTGTCTGTGCCTATGCTTCATAGCATGGTGTTGAGTAAGTACTCTCATTCATCTTATATGTGCATATTTTGCAGGGCAGGGCTAAGGTGCCTATTGGACCTTGGTTTGTCATTGATTTGAATAATTTGAGTAGGTGGCTTTGTCATATGAACTCATTTATGAGCTTTGACGAAGCAGAGTGTTAGTTTCAGTAAAAGCTAGTCTGAGAAAGTAGGATTTGTGTGGTAAGTTGAAATATGGGAACACCAATGATTAGATAGAGTGATGGAATTGGTAGATAAATCGATAGGATGGAAAGGAAGTGCAGCTTGTCACAAGAAACTAAGTTGATAAGATATAGAAATATAAAATAGACAAAAGCAATCATCAACTCAATATTATTCTTAATAATGTAATAGGTGTTTTCTAATAACAATTTGCAAGCGTTCAGGAATGATGCTTCATTCGATTGCTGGGAGATATAAGGTTAAGAAGATAACTAGAAACCTTTCAACAGCTAATCCAATTCCAAATTGTTACAAGATTCAAAAATTTCATTTTTGTTCCAAACTCTTCTTGTTTATGAATTGAAGTAGAAGTTTATTGGGATAATTACACCTTACCCCCTTGTGATTTCACGCGTCTTACCTCCCTGAGATTTATAAATATACTTGTAAACCCCTTGTGATTTAGAGTGATGTGCAAAAGTGACGGGATCCGGTAAACTTAACAGCGGGCAAACGTGCCAGAGAAGCGTGTCTGCACTAGAATTTAGTGTGTTGGCGCCAAATTTTGGGTTTAGGGTGACCAATTTGCCCTTCCAATCCCTTATAGAATCATTACACCACCAAACCCACTATTAATTACCCAAAAATCCTGAGATCACTTCCATTATAGGATGTGCAAATTATGGGGTAATCACTTTCATTATTTAGTAATTAATTAATTAATTAATTTATTTAGGGTTTATATAATATTTAATTACAAATCCATAATAGGGAAGAAAGGATATCAAATTTCTCTTCGTAAGAGTTTAATCTGAAATCTCACATCACAAAAATTGTTACACAATTACTCGACCAATTGTCCAAGTTATTATTAATTTGAATTAGACTATGTAAATTGAAATTAAAGAATTTAAAAACTAAATAGATGAAATTTATAATTTAAAAATAAAACAGAAAGAATTACAAATTTACAATAGTGTAAACGATAAAAATAAAATTAATATTTTTGCGAATTCATTCAATTGAATTTGTGAATAATAATGTTATAATTATATTTTTAGTATCTGAATTTATTTAAAATTATGTTGTGATAAATAGTAACATTTTTCATATTTATGGTACACAATTATATGACACAGTTTTGCCATTGCTTGCTCACCCACCACATCCTCCATAAAAATCTGAGAAAATCTAAGGGTGTGTTTGGTTTGGTTTGGTTTGGTTTTGGGAGATAAATTTTCAAAAAAAATCTTGAGAAAAGAGTTTGGAAATTTTTTTAGTTTGTTTGGTTATATATTTTTGAAATAGTTTTGGAGTATGAGAATTTGGGATGATTTGATATTTTGTTATAGTTGTGTAGATGTGTGTGGGAGAAAAAGTGATTGAGAAGGAGAGAGGAGAGAGGAGAGAGAAAAAGTGATTGATTAATTGGTGGGAGAGAGTGATTTTGAAAATTTTTTTAAAAAAAATTCCAACCAAACAAAATTTTGGAAATGTTTTTCAAAAATTGTATTTTGAGAGTTAAACCAAACAAAGCCTAAGTCTCTCTATCTATCCTCTTCCTTGCTCTGTTCTTCATTTTGCAACAGAAAAAAACACCAAAATCTCCATATAACCTCATCAACACATAATCTATATATACTACTGTAATCATCTATACATATATATAACCTGAATATTATTATCAAATACATATCAAAGCTAAAGCAATGGCAATTCTTGCCACACTCCCAAACCCCAACCTCTTCTCCACCCTCCCTTAAACTCCACCCTCAAAACCTCCTCCACCACCACCACCACCACCACCACCAAAATCCCCCATTCCAATCCCCAAATGCCCGCCACCTCTCAAATCCCAAACCCCCCAAAACCCACCTCAAACCCCGCCTACAAGACCTTCCACCATCGCTCCAAGTACTACAAACCAGTCCGAGACGGCAATTGCTCCGTCGGCGTCGGCGATTCTGGCATTACTTGGAGTAAAATTTCTAAAAGCAGATTCTTTGTTGCTTTAATCGATTGTTACTAGTTCGATTTAATCCAAATCCTTTCAAACCCAAACCCAAACCCAAACCCATGTCTCTCTCTCTCTCACTCTAAAAATTGTAATCAAACAGCTGAAGGGACTATAGCATGTAAGCACTATAAATATCTAAAGGTATTTGATCTTTTCATTAATTCCGTTACGTCTCGTCACTTTTGCACATCACTCCTAATTATAGGGAGTTTATGAGTACATTTATAAACCTTAGAGAGATAATGTATAAATGCGTGAAATCATAAGGAGGTAAAGTGTAATTATCCCAAGTTTATTTTATAAATTTTCGTTGTTGTTATAAATGGATGAGAATATTTTGGAGTTGATCTGGACTCGATACTTCATCTGATTGCTGAGTAGTTGTTGGATTAGAATGTGAACTTCGAAATTTACAACAGTTAATTATTTCCAGCAAGTTGCAAATTCCAATTTTCCTTTTGCTTTTGGTAGGCTTTTTAACAATCACAAATTGAAAACATGGGACCTTTTAAGTTTATTGCTTTCTAAACTTGTAGTACAGTGCTATCTTTACTGCTGCTTTATTTATTTTTGCTTATTCAACCAAGTAAAGAGTTGATCCGAAATTTTTAAATACATTGCAACGTCTCAAATTTTCCAGTCTATTTCATTATTTGGTGATTGGTGCTGATCTGCTGCTAAGTCTCTCTCTTTTTCATTTTTTTTTGTTTGTTTGGTACCCTTCAGCATAAATACAGTGTACTACATGGCACCTTATGCAACCATGATCTTGGCAGTACCAGCACTATTACTTGAAGGAGTTGGGGTTGTGCAGTGGTTTCAATCGCACACATCTATTCTTTCTGCTCTTGTTATTATTTTTGGCTCTGGAGTGTTGGCTTTCTGCCTTAATTTCTCTATCTTTTATGTGATTCATTCTACAACTGCAGTCACGTTTAATGTTGCTGGAAATCTTAAGGTGAGATAAACTGTGAATTGGATCCCTTAAAGCTTACATCATCATTTTATTGCCATTGTCAGTGCCATCATCATTATCATTGTTCAAAAGTTCTCCCATATATTTTTCTAATTCCTTATCTTGTGTTACCATAGTCATCATCAGCATTGTTCACAAAATTCTACTTCAGCCCGTGGGTACTAGGTGTCTATGCTTATCTAAGAAACAGGGATACGGACACATCAGCACGGATTAAAAATAATAATATAAAATCAAGAGACAACATGGCAGGGATATGACAACAAATAAATATATTATATGTGTGCATAAATAAAGTTGGTAGTTTCTTTGTCTTTAAGTTACATAATACATTTATATTTTTCAATGTTGAAATAGTGAAAAAATATATTTTTCTGCACACTTCATGTATTGAAAAAGTACCTTACAAAAAGTAGATATATCTATTTTAAAAAGCTTTATTCATTAATAAACTGGAAGTTTAGTATGAGCTTGGCTATCTGGAAAGCATTTTCCTCTTTTCCTTCACTCACATCTTTCTATATTTTTTTAGTAGCTAGTAAATCTCCTTTTATATGAAAATGAAAATATGTTGCATACAAGTAATATTTAAAGCGTGTAAAGTGATGCTAGAGAACTCTAATTTAGAGTCTCTAAACACACCTCTAATGAGGTGGAAAAGGCCAAAAAAAAAAAAAAAAAACAGACACAGCACTGACGGTGGCAGTGGGTGGGACCCACTGCCACATCACTAGTGGCACCTCTAATTAGAGGTCCCAAGCATTTTTGAAAGCGTGTATTATATATATTTGTTCTTCAAAGCACAAATTTCTTGTCATCTGATTTCAAATTTCCCTCTAATGAGGTGGAAAAGGCCAAAAAAAAAAAAAAAAAAACAGACACAGCACTGACGGTGGCAGTGGGTGGGACCCACTGCCACATCACTAGTGGCACCTCTAATTAGAGGTCCCAAGCATTTTTGAAAGCATGTATTATATATATTTGTTCTTCAAAGTACAAATTTCTTGTCATCTGATTTCAAATTTCTTGTTATATTGTTCCTTCCACACAGGTTGCAGTTGCTGTTACATGTTCATGGATGATATTCCGAAACCCAATCTCAGCTATGAATGCCTTTGGTTGTGGAGTGACACTTGTGGGATGCACATTTTATGGTTATGTAAGGCACTTGCTCTCCCAACAGCCGCCACCAGTAACAACCGCTAGTACGCCCCACTCTCCACGTAGCCTGAAGGAGTTGGTTCCTCTGGTAAATGATAAATTAGACGATAAGCTTTGATGTAGTAAAGATGCATGAGTTCTGGCAATTAGAGAGAGTGAATTATAGGGACAAATATGACAGAGAAGATACAGTTCCATCTCTATGCTCTTTGAACTTCCATTTGATCATTAATATAGTTTTTTTTTTTTTTCTCAGCTAAAAATTTCATGTTTTTGTTTTCTGTTTATTGACAATTAAATTCTATTTATGGTTGCACAGATACTTTCAGTTGAGACTATTGTTGAATTTTCTTTTAGTGTCCACGTATTGAATGTTATGGTTAATGCCAGGAAAGTATTGGCTTATGTTGGTAGTTTCAAGGGGATTGCTTGGAACTCTCTCTCTCTCTCTCTCTCTCTCTCGTAAGACACTGTCAAGTTTTCCTCCTGCAGAATGGAATAAGATTCAATCCTAGGTTGTAGTAATGAATTCGATTGTTGGGATGCTCTCAACCTAGCTATGAATAAGGTTCAATCTCATCCTTGTTAGGAATAAGATTCGATCCTAGGTCATAGTTATGAATCCGATTCATCATGTTTGGTTTTAGTGTTTTGAGTTATTTTTTAAAAAAGTGATTTGAAAATGAATATATGTTTGGTTTCTAAAAATTTCATTATTGCAAATTCAAATTTCCATTCACAAGTGGAGAGAGAGAAGCCTAAAGGATGTATACAACAATAAAAACTAAAATATAAAAATTTATTGTCACATCAAAAGTATCACCATGTTTGTTTTGTATATATACTAGCGGATACCCATACCTCAAGGCACGTCCTAAATAATATTAGGATTAGAATATAATTGTAATCCCAATACTATTTAAATTTATTTTTTAATTTGATAAAATCACAAATTTATTATAAAATTTTAGAGTTTTCACAAAATTCCTTACGAAAACTCGCTTTTGCTTATATAATATATAGTTAGATAGATAGATGTGCCTGACATACATACAATATCTATGAGGCATACATACAATAATGCTTTTACTTATATAATTATATGGAAATTGTATGCATGCCCATAATGTCCTAGTATATTACGGGCATACATACAATGTATGGAAATATGTGTAAAATATATAAGGCGGAATCATGAGATCATGGAAGGATGAGTGAGAAAAGGAAAAAGTAAGAGAGAGAAGCAGGCAAGTACAAAATGTACATGTAGGATATTTTTGAAAAATATAACTCAGTCATTATTTTATAATTTAAACAGATTTGAGTAATCCAAATGTCCAAATAGAACAAAAATATGTTGAAAATTCAAAAACCGTCCTGTTTTATTAAAATACTAACGTATGCCCGTGCCTGAAGGCACGATGTAAATAATATTAGGATTAGAATATAATTGTAATCTCAACACTATTTAAATTTATTTTTTAATTTGATAAAAGCACAAACTTATTATAAAATTTTGGAGTTCTCACAAAACTCTTCATGAAAACTCGCTTTTACTTATATAATATATAGTTAGATAGATAGATGTGCCTGGTATACATACAATTTCTACGGGCATACATACAATATTGCTTTTGCTTATATAACTATATGGAAATTGTATGTATGCCTATAATGTCCAACTGTATTACGGGCATACATACAATGTATGGAAATATATGTAAAATATATAAGGTGGAATCATGAGATCATGGAAGGATGTGTGAGAAAAAGGAAAAAGTAAGAGAGAGAAGTGAGAAAGTACAAAATGTACATGTAGGATATTTTTTTGTAAAATATATCTCAGCCGTTGTTTTATAATTTGAATACATCTAAGCCGTCCAAATGTCTTAGTAGGACAAATGTGTGTAGGACAAATTCAAAAATCATTTTGCTTTATTATATAGATGTTGAAGATAAATATAAAGTCTATAAAGTATTCAATATATTTAAAAATAATAATTAATTATTCAAATTTATTTAATTTGTAGACTATAAAATTCATTAATTTAATCTTCAATACACACAGTAAAAAATCTGGCTCCTAATTCTAGGATCATAGACTTTTCCATATGATATGAATAAAAATAATGAACAAAAAGGAGAAAAAAAAAAAACACAAATAGAGAGAATAATAAAAATGAGAGAAATAAAAAAAATAAAAAGAAAAGAGAAAGGAAGGTGGGATCATGGAAGGATGGATGAGAAAAAGAAAAAGAAAAAGTAAGAGAGAGAAGCGGGAAAATAAAAATTTACGTATAGGATATTTTTTGCAAAATATATCTCACCTGTTATTTTATAATTTGAATATATCTAAGCCGTCCAAATGTCCTAGTAGGACAAATGTGTGTAGGACAAATTCAAAAACCATCTTGTTTTATTATATAGATGTACATACTATATATGTATCAAGACATAAAAGAGGAACCAAACAGAGATTTTGAAAAAAGAATTCAAAAAAGAGATTTTGAAAACTTTTTCAGATTTTTTGAATAACCAGACAAAAACTATACAATTTTCAAGTTTAGAAAAGAGGAATCAAACATTGTTTGGGAAGTGGGTTTGGGACTAAAATAGTCACAAAAAATAAAATAGGCTTTTTAGCCCTAATAAGACAAAAAAATCACATTTAACCTATCAATCTCGCTAGGTAGCTCGAAATATACAAGGCTCGAGTGGCTCGAGGGGTCAAAATGACGTTGTTTTGACCCCTTTTTTTTCCCCCTTTCCTGTCTCTTCTGCTATCTTCTGCTCTCCGATTCATCAAGGGATTCTCTCTTCTCTCTCTCCCAAACCTCCCATGCTTCACCAGATCTTCACCATCATCTTTCTTGGCCAATCTTTGTAACCCAGGAATAATCTCACTTGTTTTTTTTTTTTTTTTTTTCTTTTTCTCTTTTCTTCTCTCTCTCTTTTGTCTTTGAAACTAGAAACAGAGGCGAGAGAAAGAGAAAAGAGGGAGGAAGAGAGAAAAAAAAAACAGAGTGGGTGGAAGAGAGAATATGTTCTTCTTCTTTTTCAAAATCAAAATCAATTTTTGTTTACCAAACAGAATGTGAAATCAAATCAAATCCAAAACCAAACCGAATCAAAATCAAACCCAAATTAAAAAATCAGAATGAAAATAAAGAAGAAATAAGGCTATAGATTAGAAAAAAAAAAGAATCTAAGAAGGATAATCTAGTCGAAGAAGAAGATAATTAAAGAATGGGGTCAGAAAACTCACCCGAAAAAAAAAAGAAAAAAAAGGAAGAAGAATCGAAAACACCACAATTCAATCACCCACTATCCAAAATCAAAATCAAACTCAAGCAAATATTTGAAAGTTACAGAGAAGGGTGAGAGTAATGGAGACTAATGTGGGTTTGTCTGCAAAACAGGGGAGTGGGAGAAAGAGAGATAGAGATAAAGAGAGAAAATGTATGTTTTTGGGTCAGGTTTGTTGGGTTAGGTTAGAGAGAGAGAGAGAGAGAAAGATAGAGATAAGAGAGAAAAGTAGTATTTTTCGGACCATTCGAGCCTCACTTGCTCGAGCTACGGAGCATTTTCCTTAACCTATAATTATTACATTCTTTCTCTCACAAAAGTCAAAAAAAGTCAAAAAAAGCTAAAAACCCTTCTCAAACCAGACTTTTTAGCTTTAGGATAAAATAGTTAAAAAAGTTAAAAAGTCAAAAAGTCAAAAAGTTAACCCACTTCCCAAACCAAGCCTATGAGTGATTGTTATTATTATGGTGGTTCTAGCTTATGGTATGGGAGGTGACTTGAACTATTCTAACATGGTATAGAATATGAATCAATCTCACACCTTCTATTTCACTTATTATACACCTATACTATGGTTAGTTGATTGAAATGAAATAAAATAAAATAATTATTACATTATAATGTCCAAACGAAACTTGGTATTTTCGTGTCAGGTTAAATGAAGCAATACAATGAAAGAGTATAATGTCTAAAAGGAACTTGGTATTTTTACCTTTCTTGGTGTCAGGTTAAATGAATCAACACAGACAAATTATATTAATAGTCCCTATAGTTTGGGACTTGTGTTATTTTGGTACTTGACTTTTCAATTGTGATATATTTGATTCTGAATTTTGAATTTTATTTCAAATAAGGACAATTGAAGATACTATTGTTTAATTTTAAGAGCAAAATTGTCACTTTAATAAAATATGAACTAATTTGATAAAAATAAATGTCAAAAAATATTTTTAATTTTTTAAAAATTATTTTTATCCATCAATGATAAAATTATGTAAAATTGATTAAAATTAATAAAAATTACATGATTAATTTTTAAAAATTAATTTTAAATGATTATCATCCAAACACATAATAAAAATTAATTTGGTAAAATAAATAAATAAATGTCTAAAAGATTTATCAATTTTATATAATTTTATTTTTAGTGGGTAGAAATAATTTTTAAAAATTCAAAAATATTTGTTTGATATTTATTTTTGTCAAATAAGTTTATATTTTATCAAATTGACAATTTTACCCTTAAAAAATCTAATGATATCTTTAATTGTCTTTATTTGGAACAAGATTTAAAATTTAAGATCAAATGTGTCACAATTAAAAAATAAAGTGACACAAGTTTCAAATTATAAGAACTATGAGTGTAATTGACCCTACAATGAAAGAGTGTAATTTTCACCTTTCTTGATACTTCAAAGTAGGTAACCCTAGCTTAAGACTCATTAACGGCGAATCCTTATGTTCCATTTAAGTTGCCTAGTGGTTTAACAAAACAAAAACTGTTGTACCATTAAAAATTCAATTTATGAGGTGAGGTATAATGCTGTAAGAGTTGTTAAAGCTAAAAAATAGTATAAAGTTTAAAATTTTCTTTTTTTTTAAGGCTAGTTAAAAAGCTTGTAATGTTTTAGTAATGTTATACTTTGAATTAAATTTGGTAGTAAAATTTGTCAATTCAACAGAGTCATTAAAAAAAAAAAAATACTATATTCATCTTCTTGACTGTATTAAAAAAATATTGTTCATCGTCACCTCAACAGATATTTCAAAAATTAACAAGAAAATTCCAAAACAATTTTAGATACCAACAAATAACTGAACTAACTCTAAAAATTAAGAAAAAAAGAACACAAACCAACAAGTTCCGCAATGCACTTCCAAAAAATCACATAATACTTCTATCAAAAATTTAAAATTGATATTTACAAAACCAAAAGAACACATTCAATAATTATGTTCCTTCTCCCTCCTCCATGATTGTCTTGTTTTGCAATATACAATTTTAAAATTTAGTAAATTCTAAATAT